ATATATATATATATAAAGAAGAAAGCATTAAACTTATATAAATATTTATAATTATGTATGCTTTAGATTATTTTAAGAGTTTATATAATAAAAATATGTTTATATAAAATATAAATTAAACAGATATGAATTGTGAGTTTCAAAATATCATGAATTTATAATGAAAAATGGTTAACAAGCTTTTGCAAAAAGCCCTGTTAATTACTAAAACACTATTAAACCAAAATAATTTGTTTTATGCACCATATTATCTTCTTCAACAATAGAAGTTAATAACAAAAATATAATCCCATATGTCTATATTGTATATAAAGGAGATATCAATTTTTATTTAAATTTATTTATCTATATTTGATTAAAATATATTCCTATTTGTCATTCTAATTAACTAGAAATTTTCTTTTAGTAATTACACATTATATTCTCTAATAACAACTACCATTATATAATCATATAATCTATCTATATCATTTTTTATATTTTTATATAAATAAAATAAAATATATAAAATTATGAAGTGTTTTGACCCTACTAATAATTATAAAGTAGAAAAGAATTAATAAATTTATTTGAATACAATGCAATCATTTATAACTTTTAAAATAACAATAAAAAAGGAAATATACTCTTAACAAAATAAATAATACTCAAATATTCTAAAATTAAAAGAAAAATCACTCAAAAAAATTAAAAGAAAAAAGTAATAATGTTATCACTAAATATAAAAATATATTTGTTTAAAAAAGAAAATTATTATCTTTATAATGAATATATCTTTATAATAAATTATAAAAAGAGAATAAAATACTTTATAAAAAAATATGGAAGAGAAAAATAAAACTTAAATATTATTCTCTATCACTAAATTTTCAAATATAAACAATTATCTTAATTATCTTAATATTTAAATATAATATACAAAAAATTAAAATTATATAAAAAATTCAGGGGGCCATGCCCCTAATACTTAAAGTAAATCCGTCCTTCACTAATCACTACTGCTCAGATATTGTTCAGATAATTCGAACATTATTTACAAGTATCAAACAATTTATATTTGCTATATAAATACAGATATTGTATAGATAATTCAAATTGTAACAACTTTTACTGCTCTCAAATACCATATTAGACGCTACTTTCCACAAGAGACTAAGGTAGGGAGGATTCATTTTCTGTAAATTCCTCTGCTTAACTAAATTTCACTTAACCTTGAGAAAATGGATTGATGCTACTATTGCGCAATGATTTATCTTGAACAGAAAGATTTGGGTGAAGGTTTTCATCGTCTTCAAATGTTGTCCACCCCATTGTGTTCTCATGTTTCTCTTCTCCATCGTTGCGCATATTTTTCATCTCTCCAACATGATCTTTTTTCACCACATCCAACACAACACCGCCATATCGATCACACCATGGTCTTCCATAACAAGTAAGGGCACTATTAGTTACAGTTACAAATTTTGGAACACATAAGAATAGTTCTAGTGCTAAGTGGTCCAACGTTAACATATGGGGGGTTTGAATGATTAAAAAAAACTCAAATATAAGAGAGGTTATGCTGACTCACTTGGGATTGTAATTTTTTAACTCAGCCTTCTCCTCTGGAAGTTTGGTAGAAATTGTTTGCTTCTGATCATTCCTGTTTCATAAAACAAAAAGTAAGCAGTGGCAATAGTTAAAATTTTAAGGGTATCTTTAGGTAAACTTCCGAAAGTACTTAAAAAAAAAGAAGAAAAAAAATGAAATAATTTTATCTATAAACTAAACTTAACTTATGTACAACTTGATTTGTAAAATCTCTTTCCATTTAGTTTTTTTAAAATCTTAGTTTTAACTTCGTAAGCTAGTTTTTTCTTATGGAAAATCTTCTCTTGATTTTCCTTCTTATAATTTTTCTCCTACATGTATTTCTAGAAAATCTTATCCAACCAACTAAAATCGTGATATAATGAAAAGCAGAAGGATATAAACATGGAAAATTGACAAAAGACATACAAGAAGTTGAAATTTGTGTTTGTGCTCCTCATTTCTGTCGGAATTCTTGGCAGCTCCTTCTTTATCTTGTCCACCAAAACCTATTCATTCATAAACAAATTTGGTTCAATGTTCAAAATTAATTAGCTCTTCATGTTCTTTTCCAAAAGCAAATGCAATTTGCAGAGTTTGAAAACAAAGTAAGCGTCTAAAACCTTATCATCCACCACAGAAAAATCAGATGGTGATACATTAGAATGCATCTTGTTCTTCATTGACACCTCACCATATGAAGAAAGCTGATAGGAAGCTAAGTAGGCCTCACTATCAGAGCTCTCATTTAGAGACAAAGGAACTGTGTCATCTTCTGGGTCACTTTTCTTCAATTTCCTCAACCCATCAAACCCCCATTGTTTTTTTGCTGATTTCTCTGCTTCAACACCATGATCTCCACCACCACCATGCCCTTCTCTCTTACTCTTATCCCTATGAAATAGAGTTCTAAATGGTTTCCTCTTCATCTTCTCTGGCCCATCCCAGAAGGGGTTGTTTTCCTTGGAATGCCTCAATTCACTTTGGGTACAGACAGAGGGAGAAGGGATTCTTGATTGTGGTGAGTGCATGTGTAAAGTGGGTGAATCAAATATGCTCTTCTCCATCGAGTTTTTCCCATGTTTGTTTGAAGATCCAAAGTTGAAAACTGAGGTTGCTGCCTTAACAACCTGATTCCTTGCATGCTTTGATGATGTCTTCTTAGAATTTGAGTTCTCTTTGTTCATCAAGCACTGCTCATCCTTCAAGTCAATCTCAGACCATTCTTCCTCTGAAGTTTGCTTCGTGCCTTTTGACCCTGCAATCATCACATCCCTCCCTTCAATCTCACCTCCTTCAAGTGTCATTCTCACAAGTAAAGGCCTTCTTGAAGAGTGGTACTCCCCTTCAGAAATGCATTTGGCATGAAGAAGTTCCTGGCATCAACCAAGAGAAAACAATAACTTGTGTCAATAATTCAGCAACCATGTTGCATTTCATTTCTGATTGAGTAACTCACAAACAGAACTTGTTATCAAGACTATCCTAGGTTTAAAAAATTATCTATCATCGTGCTCTCAGCGGCAGAGTCAAGGATTTTAGAATCTATCGGAGCCAATCCGTCACATTTGTCTGAAAATTTTCCACAACACCAAGCAGTGGCGGAACTTGCATTAAAAATTTGGAGGTGCCAAATTATTATTTTTATATATAAAATTATAAATTAATTTTTTATTAAATAAAAAAAATAGAATTTTTCTTTTTTTACTCAATTTTTTAATTTTATTATAATTAATAATATAATAATATATAAATATAATAT